CCTGTCTTACTAAGGGTTTAAAATATTTTACAGCATTACCATTAGAGAAAATATTTCAGAGTATTTATCTGGAACATTTTCCTTAATAAAGGCTGCTGCAGTAGGTGAAAACTCCTCTGCTTCTTTCAGTTTTGAACCATCGAGGAAGCACTCAAGTAGGTTTCTGCAGATCAAATAAATATCTGTATTAATTTTTATTAACGCTTTCTGAAATAGTTATTATACTTTTTCCAGAGACACTTTATATAGAAGGTAACACTCTTAATTAGTGCTATAAAGCAATTAGTGCTATAAAAGCACTGCCTCAACATGAAAGAGATCCTCTATGTCTTTGTTTCCTCCAGAGATACGCAGCTGTTAACACGGTTATTGCACATCACACAAATAATATTGGAAAAGGAGGCTTGTGAAAACTCAACAGCACACCTGGAATTAAAATGAGTGATTGTTTAAAGTTGTATGAGAAAAACATTTCTGTGAGATACATTCTAAAATTCTCTGTTAACTGCTGGAGAGTTGAGTCTTTCAAAGCCATTCAGCGAGAGAAAACTATTCATGTTGGACACTGTAACCTATCTACTGGATTTTCAATACTTTATCTGATTTAACTGAAAAGGAGCCAGTGATTCAAAGAAATAAGTTAATTATTATTATTCATGATTGATCTACATTTCCACCGTGGAGCTGCACTTCTAATCCAAGTCAAGGAATAAAGTATTTAAGTCTTTCAGTTAGATTAATTAAAATGATGCAATAATCTGGGGACACACACAATTTACACAATTAAACCCAGGGGCCAGTATCAGCCTTAAATAAAAGCCACTCCATACAAAAAAGACACTCAGCTGTGTCCTGTTTTGTACCAAGATGCTCAGGTGGGAAGGTTGGGCCGGGGATCCCGAGAGGTCCCTGCCAGCCCCAGCTGCTCTGTGAAGGTGGCAGAACCAGGGCCGCAATTAACGGACTGCACACAGGCAGTAACACAAACACTGCATCTAAAATGGCTGTGATACTTCAGACCAGACCTACAGCCTAAATACCTCTGCCACTGAAACCTTAACCTCAAAGTAAATATTAAAATGAACCACCTTTTACATTAAGTTTGCACTTTTATATCTTTAAAAAGTCATTAATTCAGCTTTCCACAATAAATGTATCTACAATGCTGCCAATGAAGTATACATTTTTAAAGACTACTTCAGGTGGCAGCCACAGCTACAAGAAGACTACAGAACACCCATACGAGAAAATACAGTTAACCTTACATCATGAGTTCTGCTCTCCATTCCTTGTCTTGCTCTTCCGCTTGGTTTAACGCTTCAACAATGTGAGAGAGGCTGGGAATAAGGCAACAGCGGAATCCAGGCTGAAGATACGGCCTCACAAGTTGCCAATAAAGAACTGAGGCATTATATAGCAAAAAATAATATCTGAACAACGAGAATGAAGAATTTAGTAGTTCATGGACTTAAATAAACATAAAACTATAGATGGAGTACTTTAAGAAAAACCTAGGAAGCAAGAATTGGAACTTTTCCTATGTGCTTAGACATGAACCAATCCTGACTAAGAACTGAAAACACAAGTACAGCACAAGAATACGGTAACTTGCATTTACCTTCTACCAGTAATCAACCACTTAAAATGAGATAACATGGTGTGAGAGGCTGAAAGAGTTCATGTCTCAAACATTGCAGCAGGACAGGTCCCGTGTAAGAAGAGCCACAGGTTCCCCTCTGTGATGAGCAGCAAAGCAGCGCTGGAAGCAGAGCCGCCTGCCTGTCCCAGCAGTCGGGATGCGCAGGTCTGTGTTGCCAGGCAAGTTAATGTGGGGAAAGGGCTCACCACCACCCCCCCAATACACAGACGCGATGGCGCCTGCACAGCAGCCCGAGAGTCGCGCGAGTCCTCGAGGGCCTGGACCGAAGAAAAGGCACAGACTCGAGGGGCCACATGTGTGCCCACCGCTGGAGGATTGCCCTGTCGTCACCGACATCGAGGAACCGTTGTGGGATCCGAGGGTGGTGATAGCTTTCCTTACTGTTTTCCTGTGGTTCTTGTCTTACAAAAGGCACCCACTCAGAACCTGTGCTACCGACCACTTTTACGTTTTCCAAATCCAAATTGTTCACCTTAAAACATTCACTTGATCCCTTGGTGTCAGTTCACCTTAATCTAGCCCCAGGGGATTTACACAACTTCAGTGTCCCTCCTCCCACAACACATGGTGCTCTTCTCTAGAGCATAAATATAAAAAGGGAAGAAGTGCTCAGAGACCTCCTATATAAGCTGATTCAACCTCTCTATTTAAGAGTGTTCAGTATTCTCACTGTTGCAGCACACACAGCAGTTACAGAAGTGCAGTAACAAAACAGAAGGAAAACCCACAAAAGGAAAAAACCCCAGACACCACAACTCCAGTCTACCTAGTGAAAATCTGAGAGAAACAACTGTGAATCCTAACTCAGCAACATTTTCTGAGATTTAAAGGGTTAATCTCGTCAGTAGGGCCTACCTTGGATCATGGGTGGCAAAATCAACTGCCTTCATAAAAAACAGCACAAACTTTTCAAAATCTTCCTAGAACAGAGCAACAAAAAATTGTTAATGCAATTTAAATATGGCTTTTATAAGTCAGTGCATTATTTTTCTATTTTAATATGTTCACATCTCATAATTTTTATTTTCAATCTAAAATAAAACATGTCACAATAATCTGCCATAGAAACAGAGTAACTAAAAATCAGTAGCATTGCCTACTACTATATTTTCCTGATTTCAACTTTTAAGACTATATTTTCAGTTTCTTTCATTTCTGCCAAACTTTAATTATCAGGACTGAAATTTTCCAAAATGGCAAAGCTGCGCACTTTTTAAGCTTTCAGAAAAGAAAGTTCAGAAACATCCAAGAGCAAAACCAGGGAAAACAAAATACTGATTTGTCCCATTAAAACACTTGAGGCTTATTTTCTTCAGAAAAGCTCCAGTAAGAATTTGTCAATCAAATGGCACATCAACCTCATTCATGGGGATCAATTTGGAAAAGGCGAGTGTCAGGAGGAAGGAGCCGGGCACTGCTCTGGGATGTCCAATGCCAGGACAAGGGGCAATGGTCCCAAGCTGGAGCACAGGAGGTTCAAGCTGAAGATGAGGCCAAACTTTGTCAGTGTGAGGGTGGCAGAGCATGGCCCAGGCTGCCCAGAGAGGTTGTGGAGCCTCCTTCTCTGGAGACAGCCAAAGCCCTGGCCGTGTTCCTGTGTGACTGCTCTGGTGATCCTGCTCTGGCAGGGGTTGCACTGGGGGAGCTTTCCAGGTCCCTTCCAACTCCTCATGTTCTGTGATTCTGTGATCAGACATGCCCTTGTTACCATCAAAGCAGCTGGGAAGCAGCTTTTCAGAGGAGGAGCTGGGAGTCCTGTTGGACTCCAGGCTGAAGATGAGCCAGCAACCCTCACCCCTGTCCCAGGGCTGCTCAGGAGAGGAGCTGGCAGTGCCCAGAGCAGGGGACCCTCCCCTCTGCTCAGCCCTGGCCGGGCCACTCCTGCAGTACTGGGTCCAGTGCTGGGCTCCCCAGTACAGGAGAGACACAGACACGTGGAGAGAAGGGACGGGAGCATCTCTTGTATGAGGAAAGGCTGAAAGCTGGGACTGCTTGGTCTGGAGAAGGCAGCTCAGGGCATCTCATCTGCGTGTACCAACACCTGAAGGGAGGGGGTAGAGACGACAGATGGGATCACAGAAAGAGGTTTTTGAATGCCTAAGAGAAGGATGCAGTGGAAATGGCAAAGGGGAGGTGGAACTGGATGGGCAGGAAGGGGATGACAGCAGAGAGTTCTCTGTAGTGAGACAGAGCAGAATAACTACATACAAAGAGTTTTAGGGCTAACTTTCGAGACTCCGGGACTGGCGTAAGAAGGCTGCTGAGCAGTGAGTGGGAACTGTCTGGATAAACAGAAAATCTGGATTAAGAGCCTGAGAGGTATTAGGTAGTAAAGCAGAAAAGTTGCACTTGGCCCTTAAGAACACAAACACCTTCAACAAGGATTTCTTAGGATGGAAACCAAAATAAGGACAAATATATCTTTTCTAAGTGAATTATGATTGTGCCACTCCTATTTTCACAAATTATCTAGGAATACAGCGGGGAAAACACTTTACAACTGATATAAACTTTATCTTAAAAGCACGTTACAGCGCAAGGGAACAAAGTTAGGATTGCACATACCGAAACAGTTCTTAACTTCTAAGAAGTTAGCAAGAGTCAAGAAGAAAACAGCAACATTCGGCTGAGATTTAGAAAACATCACAGCATAGTTTGTTTAATTTAGAAACATAAGAGCCTAGTTGGACATTAGAAAACACTTTTCAAATGTGTATGAAGTTTTAAAGCGACCACTGATCAGTTGTTCTCCACATGCGCTCAGAGAAGGCAGAGAAAGTACAGATAACAGGGAAAAGGTTCTATGTTGAAACTGAATTCAAACACATTATTCAGAGAAACTACAGCAACATCATCAGGGAAATTCGTGAACACAAATAACACAAACATCTCTTAAGGGCATTTCTGAAGGTGAGATACTGAAAAATTGCCAAAGCTGATCGACCACAGCACAAGGACAAGTGAAACACTGACAACAGAACACAGATCCTCTCCATTCGAGGTTCAGCA